CCTTGGCAACTTGGCGAGATCTCATGTCTACAATAAAAAATCAGAAAAATTAGCTCAGCATGGTGGTTCACGCTTGTAGTTTCAGTTACTTGGAAGGCTGAGGCAGAAGGATCAACTTGAGTCCAGCATGTCAAGGGTGCGGTGGCCATGAGTGTTCCACTGTACTCCAGCCTGGGCAACAAGAGTGAGACTCCAACTCAAAAAAAAAAAAAAAAAAAATTTACAGAAGCAAACAGGAAAAAAAAAATCACAGAAGCAAAGAAACAAAAAGTTAAACATTTGATTCTTTTCTTTTTTTGACTGCTGTATGTGACATGTATCAAGCAATTCATTTTTACTATATTTTGTTCTTAGGTTGAATTTATAGTTTTATAATCTTAAACACTTAGTAGAGACAACATAAGTTTGTTTTATTAGTAAACCCAGGTAGAATAAAATTGTATGTCTGCATTATAGTTAATGTTTATAATTCTGAGACATAGCCACTTTTATTAAACCAGCAGTATTAGACTAATCTTATTTATGAACGATTTATCCAAGTCATGTGAACCTGAAAAGTATCTGGGTCAATTTCTATATTTCTGGGAATTTTATGATTATTTAATTTATACAAGTGCTCATTCATCTCTAAGACAATTTGAACAGAAGTCCTTCAAGGAATTTTATAAGTCAATTTATTAATACCATCCGGAGAAAGAAAAAAATCACATATACGTAACATATATACATACGCAGACAGATGCAAAAAAAGATTTTACAGTTTTCATTCTTTAACAACTTTAGCTATGAGTCAGTAAAACACAGAAAAATAAACTCACTAGCTTATGTAAAATAGTTCTTATGTTTTCTCCACTTTATGTATTTATCCAAATTATGTTTCTGACAAAAATGGGACAGCTTTAAGGTTAAAGTTACCAGCTTTAGCAATAATTGTGGAAGAGACTTTCAAGATTTTCTTTTTGCCCTGACATGTACTCTTATTGCAGAAGAGATGTCAGGGGTTGTCTGGGTATCTCCAAAGCCCATAGGCTGAGTGTAGGTGAAATAATCCATCTATTTCCAGTTAGACTTTTTCCTCTTCAACCTTAGGTGGTTGCTGCTGGAGTCATGAGTTTCCTGAGAGCCCCCAGTGGATGGTTTGGGACCTAGAAGTTCAAGTGGCTAAGAGGCTAGAGTGGGCAGAAAAAGGTCTGGCAGGCATGGAGAGATGGATGAAGGAGGCGGGGATTTGAAGGAAGAAATGTTAACGGAGGCAAAGGAACTGGAGCTGGAGGGAAGACTGAAGGTGATCAGAGGAAGAAGAAGGGGCAGCAGCTAAGGGAAGGGGAGTTTTCAGAGGAGCTAGTCTGGGGAGACTTTTTTTGAGCCAGGGTCTCACTCTGTTGCCCAGGCTGGAGAGGAGTAGCACAATCATGGCTCATCGCAGCTTCGACCTCCTAGGCTCAGGCGATCCTGAGTAGCTAGGACTACAAGTTCGCAACAAATCCAGTTAATTTTGTTTGTTTGTTGTAGAAACAAAGTCCTGCCATGCTGCCCAGGCTAGTCTCAAACTCCTGGGCTCAAGCAATCCTCCTGCCTTGGCCTCCCAAAGCCCTGGAATAACAGGTGTGAGCTACCACACCCAGCCTGGGAGATCATAAGTTTCCCAAAGAGGCCAATACAGTTGCAACAAGAAGGAGATGGACAGCGCTGGTGGAGCACATAGTCAGGGATTCAGATGACAGAGAAATTTTCATGGGAGAAGCAGGCTCCAACAAAGAGAACCGAGAGGCCTTACAGAGTGCCAGGAAGGTCCTCCAGCTCGGGAGAGTCAGGGAATAATCCCTGTTCAGGAAAGAGACCCAGGAAGAGCCTTTCAAAAGAAGCCTGGTGCTCTAACCCAGCTTCAGGGAATGTACTCAGAATCTTAAGAATCAAAATCTTTCCTTACCAGCTTCCACGGACGTTTGTCCAGAGCAACGGTTCACAAGTCTGACTCACCATTGGATCCCCGATCAATCAATCAGGAGTGAAGACAAAGGCTTCAAAGGTGCACCTTGGGGTCCTGGGTGAGAGGTCTGGGGGTCCAATGATGAATCGGATTCTATCCAAGTCACTGTTAAAGAAAAATATCACTCAACGATACTGGTTAAAGTATGGCAAGGCAGACTTTATTCAGGACCACCCCAACAGGTACAGGAAGCCTGGCAATGGGATTGTGTAGTAGGGAAGAGAGAGTGGGCTCAACTCTGAACAGAGCATGGGCAAGTGGAAAAGTATAGCCAAGAAGCAGGGCGGGCATAGGTGGGTGAAAAATTACTAAGAAGTAACATCTAGAATAAGGGACGGCTAAATCAACTTAACCCAATTCTTGCTGAAGACAGGTCAGGAGAGATCAGACATCACCTGAGGAATGGTCTAGGATGAAGAGTTCTTGCTAAATCTGGATTTACAAGGAAGTACACTGATAGGCCGAGGAGAAAGTTTAACGGTCTGTCTGAAGTATGGTCAAGCAAAGAACCTTTGTCACACTCTCCAATTACTAAATGACTCTAAAGACTGAAACTGCAAATATTTGCTTTCACTATTTAAATTAAGTTAACTGAGTTCTAATAACAGCTAAAACTTTCTCGTTGGCCCTCAGTTTATCACTGGCAACAAAGGTAATAATGATTTGTAGTCAGTCACGATTTACAATTAAACCACGCCTAGGAGAAATAACTCAAAATATCTCAACAGACCAAACAAAGCCACTAACTTTAATCATCATGATGATTTTCATGACATTTTTATTTTTGCTGTTAATATTAGTTATTCACCTTTCACTATGTGCCAAATAAAAACAACAAAACTCAGCCGGGCTCGGTGGCTCAGCCTGTAATCCCGCGCCTTTGGGAGACTGAGGTGAGTGGATTGACTGAGCCCGAGGGTTCGAGACCCGCCTGGGCAAGTGAGACCTCATCTCTACAATAAATCAAAAAAAAAAAAAATCAGCCAGACGTGGTACCGCATGCCTGTAATGCCGGCTACTCGGAAGGCTGAGGCGGAAGGATCGCTGGAGCCCAGCAGGCGAGGTTGCGGTGGCCAGGAGCAGCCACTGCACTCCAGTCTGGGCGACTGAGTGAGACTGCAACTCAAAAAAATAAATTAAATTAAATTAAATTAAATAAAAACAACAAAACTCCTAATTCCTCATGGCCTACTGGCCCCACGTGATATGGCTCTGGCTTCACTCTCTGACTTCACTTGCTCAAGCCCCTCACCAGTATTCGCATGGTTTGTCACTCCATTAAGGTCCTGGTTCAAAGGCTGTCATCTTCAGAAGAGTTTCCCCTCACCACTTTATCTAAAACAGCAATCTCCGTCACTCTCCATACTTCTTCTTCAGAACAGTAGTACCTAATGAGCTATTACATATCTACCTGCTTATTATTTATCTTCCTTACTAGAATGTATTATAATACGCTATGACCCCAGAGATTTTGCCTTGTTCACTGTTGTGTTTTCAGCATCCAAAACAGTACCTTCCATAGAAGACGATGAGTAAGTATTTGAGTAAACAAATTATCTCTTTTTATCTTCACATAACCCTGAGGCTGGTGCTATTCCCATAAAGGAGAAACTGAGTCTGAAACAAAACAATTTGCCTACTATCACACAATTGTAGCAAGGAAAGTAGGAAGGAATTGAACCTAGTCAGTTTGAAGACTCACACATTTCCAGTGCATCTCAATCATCTGTGGTGAGAACTAATATTTTAAATTTCCAAACCGGGCGTGGTGGCTGTAATCCTAGCACTTTGGGAGGCAAAGGCGAGAGGCTTGTCTGAACCCAGGGTTTAAGACCAGCCTGGGCAACTTGGCAAGACCTCATCACTACAATAAATCAAAAACTTAGTCAGGCAAGGTGGCACGCGTCTGTGGTTCCAGTTACTTGAAAGGCTGGGGTAGAAGGATTACCTGAGCCCAGTGGGTCCAGGCTGTGGTGGCCATGAGCATGCCACTGCACTCTAGCTTGGGTGACAGTGAGACTCTGACTCCAGTAAATAAATAAAAATTTCCAATCCACCGTGACCCAACAGTGAGACTCTGACTCCAATAAATAAATAAATAAATAAAAATTTCCAATCCACCAAAGACCAATATTTTAATAAACCAAAACAAAAGTGACATAGTAATGTCAAACTGTTCCAAAAGTTTCTCAACACTTATTCTGAATCTCTATTCTCATCTCATCATGAACCAGTTCTGTTCTACAGACCACCCTTTGAGCAGCTTCCAGGCAAGGTAAACTAAATGTCAGTCCAGTGGTCCTTAATCCTTGCTGCAATATTCAAATAATCAGAGTTTAAAGATAATACCAATGCCTGGCTATTTTCCCCCACACCGCCCAGGGAAACCTCTAAACCAATAAGAGCAATTTTTTTATAAACATGAATGAAAAAGGGTATACAACTATATATATAGTGTGTGTGTATTTATTTATTGCAATTTTTTAAACAGCTCTTGAGCATTTCTGTAGTTTGAGTAACAGATTAGAAACATCCTTTCTGACAATTACACTAAGTTCTAGATCACTTCAAAAACTACAAAACAAAATCACATAATACCTTAATTATACCCCACCCAAGGGGTAAGGAATTGGAAGCACATGTTTCCAACAGTCCAAAAAGGAACAGAGGGGGGAAAAAAGAACAGTGGGGCATACATAAAGCACAAGGAAGTGTGCTAAAGTCTCCTAATTAGAAGCATTGGCAACTCGGGCAAAACAGAAGGTCTTGGTACCACTCTGGGCTTTTCAATGTTAGGTTATTTAAAAATTACATCCAGCCACTAAAATAACTTGTATTAATACTTTCTTTTTTCCTGCCTGGACTGTGTACTTTTGGAAACACTTGGGTCACCCTCATCAGACCTTTCCTGCCTGGACTGTGTGCTTTTGCAAACACTTGGGTCACCCTCATCACACTTTAAGCAAAAGCAGGAACAATGATCTAATTGGTGATAGAAAAAGTTACTTACAGTTCTTTCAAGTGAATCTGAGAAAAAGCATTTTCTTGGATAGACATTATAGCATTATTGTTCAAATCTCTGAAATAAAGAGAAATGTAACATTATCAGTCACCATTTCTATAAGTTATATAAACCCTTTATATGGTCATGAAAACTCCTGCCTATAGCAAAGATTATTTATGTAGTAAGAAAATGTATGCAAAATACTTACAGATGTTCAAGGGATTCAAGACCAATGAATGCTTTCTTTGTAATTGACTTAATCTGGTTTCCTTGTAAGATTCTGAAATACAAACAGACCTTTCTAATGAAGCTCTCCATTAAACAAAATTAAATTCATTAAGCATTTACCTATAAAAGGTAAAAAGCTTAACATGTTTTTTGTATTTTTCAATAGCTTTATTGAGGTATAATTGATATAAAAAAACTGCACATATTTAATGTGTGCAGTTTGATGAGAACATGCATATTTAAGAAAGTTATGAACTGTTATATTAACCAATGCAAAGTACAGCATAAAGGCTTCTATTAAGATGCTGGAGCTCAGTGAGGCACCTCTGAACAGCAATCCTGACCACTGATAAACTGGTAGTTTTCATATGCTAAACTGGACTATATTCCCCATTTCTATTTTCTTAGCAAAAGATAATCAGGTCAAAGAAATGCAGATAAGTACAAGCCTTTGGAGAAATTCTTCTCATGGAAGATGATCTAAAATCTTATGTGAGAGAATTCTTTTCTTTTGCTACATAAATTACTCAGAAATCTCACATGACTTAACAGATTACCAATTCAACTTTAGATTCTCAGTCCATTTATTTTACCTGAATAGAAATTCTACTTCCACAAATAACTTGTTTAAAGAGTCCATAGGAATGTTTGTCCAATTAAAAAGTGCCCCACCACATCAAAAACAAAAACAATCCCAAACAACCACGACTACAACAAAAACATTTGATAAACAACAAAGCTCTCAGATGGGTCAGAAGATATGCATAAATATTATAAACACATACAATTTAGTGAGACTCGAGAGTCCAGCAAAGGCTTCACTAGCATCTTCTATGGCCCACGAAATTTCATTGTTTCTTAGGTCTCTATAAAAAACGGTTAGAGAAAGACAGGTTATGGTAGTCACCACGACCACCACACCATTGAGCAGCATCCTGGCATGGTGATGTCAAGGCGTACACGCTCATTTTGATCCTTATTTTAATAGTTATTTATGTTGAAGACTCAGTTCTGCTTCTTAAGGAATACCTGTAATAAACATGTAAGAACTAATTCTCATAAACTAAGAATCAGTTGGCCTTGATATATAAATTAAGCAACCTGATAAGAGTATGAGTCTTCCTAGCTAACAGCCCTTAATTGTGTTAATACATTAAAACTTACAGACAGGGTCCTACAAAAAGCAGAAGGATTTCAAGATGCAGGAGATATGGCTTACAAGTCTGATTTTAGACTAATGGGGTTTCTGAGTGACCCAAGTCTCCCCCTGGGCCCTTAAACTCAAAATGGCTGACAAAGAGTAATATCACTACAGAGCTTCACCGCTCAAGAGCAATTAAACACGCTCCCCTGGGAAGAAAGAATGATATACCCATGCGTTAGAGTGGTCACTATATTTTCTTTCAAAGGAGCAGTATGGATCTTTATAAGCCACTGTTCCATTCTCAAAGGAAAGGCAATTCCACCATACTGATGAAAGAAATGCCAGTCAAAAATGTTTCATTACTTTTGCTTCCTCAAGTCATCGCATAGTACAACAAAGCACAGTAAAGACATAGGAGATGTCCCTCTTTTCACTTAGCTATCTTTAAATGAAAAGCTAACAAAGTTCATTTTATTTTACTAAGGGATAAACATTGAAACAACCAGTGGCTCAACTCCTCAGGACTTTCCCCACTCCCAAGAACAGCATAAACAGAAATCATTCACCAAATTGAATACTCTGGCGAGCATGAGGCTAAAATCAGAGTATCTCAGATCAAACCCTAATTCTGCCTTAACTATCGCTGTGGCATTAGACAACCATTACCTTCTGAAATTACTTTGCCTAAACTTTGACTCTAAAAGTAAAAATCAGTCGGATGCGATGGCTCACACCTGTAATCCCAACACTTTGGGAGGCAGAGGCAAGAGGAATGCCTGAGATCAAGGGTTCGGAGACCAGCCTGGGCAACTTGGCAAGACTTCATCTCTACAATAAGTCAAAAAATCAGCCAGGAATGGTGGTACATGCCTGTGGTTCCAGCTACTTGGAAGGTTAAGGCAGAAGGATCACCTGAGCCTAGCAGATCAAGGCTGTGGTGGCTGTGAATGTGCCACTGCACTCCAGCCTGGGCGACAGAGTAAGACTCCTACCCAATAAATAAATAAAAGTAAAAATCAGGGGTATACGGGAAAAACCTGTTTGCCATCCCTTCAATTGTCTCAAGTTTCTGAGTTTGCACTCATCTAGTTCCACTTCTGAGGAAAGGGGAAGGGGAGACTACTTTTAATTTCTCAAGACCAAATCTGAAGAAAGTTTAAAAAATTAAATGCATATCTGTGCAAGTATATACACTTTAACAAAATCATCACGCTTTTCTTCTCATTGAGGATTAGGTCCTAAAGTTGGGAGCCTGTCTCTTTTCCAGACCATTTCAACCCTGAACCTGATAACCACAAAGTCCCCTCCTATTTAGGAACTTTAAGGATCTACAAATTCTCTTTGTTTTCTTTTATTCTGCTCTATGTTTGAGATTACTGTTTCTTTAAAATTTCTCTTCATTCACTAAACATATTACAAAATTATATGTATTTATATATATGTATATGAAATTATAAAAATATACTAAGTTGAATAACTTACAAAACCACAGAATTTTAAGAGTTGAAATTGACATTAGCAACCATCTAATCCCATGTCCTTCCTTCACTGGATGAAAAGACAAAGAAAACCATGCCCAGGAAAAGCTAAGAGATTTTGTTTCTCTGGTGGTATGATAAAACACACATGAGCTACAGTATCAAACAGAACTGAGTTCTAATCCTGACCCAAATATTTACAAGTTATGTGACTCTGGCCAAATCACTCTAATCTCTCTGAATCTCAGCCTCCAAGTATGAAAAAGAGCACTAGTATCCTAGTGTCTGAAAGCACTAGGTACATATCACATAAGTGCAGTTTCTTCTGCCCAAAGTCATGCATCAAATTAGTAACAATGCACAGGTCTCCCGCCAGAGCTGTTCCCACTACACATCCTGCATGCTTTGAGTGAGAACTGGTAGTCCTGGTGCAGTTTCAAGGTTAAAGGAACAAGAAAATGACAGCATTCGTGACACTAGCAACTGTGCTTTATTCCAGAGCAACTAGCACAATAAAAGAGGCTTTGGTATTTAGGTGGTTAACTCAGAAGTAATGTACAAACTGACTGCCTACTATAGGCTTGAGATGAATAAGACCTGTTTAGGGGGACAGAGACAAAGAAGACGGCCTGGCGCTGAGGCACAGGACAGAAAAACAACAAAATATGAGCATATATAAAGTTGCAGACTGGTTCGTTGTTTAAATTAATTTTATTACAATAAAAAAGTTAGTACAAAAAGGAAGAAGTACTCACAGCGTCTGAAGGTTAGAAAGAAGCCTAAATACCCCATCAGCAATGTGAGTGACTCTGTTGTCTCCTAAATTCAGTCTCTCCAACAAGCTCAGACCCACAAAGGCAGATTCATCCAGGCGGGTCAGCTGGTTAAAGGACAAATCACTGAAACAGGAAACATGGAAGGTAAGAAAATCATCGTATTTCGGTTCAATTTACAAATTCTTAGCATATTTACATGATAAATTTAGAGCATCCAACAAATGTATAGTAAAGATGGACGTTACTTCTCATTACTGGCCACAGGAATGATTTATTCCCACCTGCTCTAGTCTCACAGCCTTCAGTGAAATGTCACTCAACACTTACAGTTCCGACAATCTTTGGCAGAACTCCCATGCATCAGGGCTGATTCTTTCAATCGCATTCTGGCTCACATAGAGCTGCTGTAACATTCGCAAGCCATACAACCACCCCTTGTTCACTCGTGTAAGGTTATTGTGCTCCAGTTCTCTGCAAAATTGAAGACAGGAGAAAAATATGTTCCAAAACAAGTCATTTCATTAAGTACAGGTTTAAATCTTCATTAAGTCCTTCTCAGAGAAGCACATGCAGTCTGACAATTAAGTTTGCAAACTTGCTGCTGTGCGCTTACATTGGCAATACTGTACAATTCAGTAAGGTTTCATCATCTTGATATATCAGTGTCTCACAGCTGTGTTTGTATCGAGATGGTGGTGGTCTCTTGCTAAGTGGCATTCATTATTGGCATTACGTGTTTTTGTGTGCCATCGCAGGAATGTCAGAGTTTGAATTAGAGCAACGAATGAGCAGTAAATTTCTTGTTAAACTTGGCAAGAGTGGAAGTGAAATCAGGGACATCTTAGTCCAAGTTTAAGGGGGTAAGTTTAAGGGGGTAATGCCATGAAGAAAACAGCAGTGTATAAATGGATTAAACTTTTTTTTTTTTGAGTTGGAGTCTCACTCTGTCACCCAGGCTAGTGTGTGCAGTGGCACGCTCACAGCCAACGCAGCCTTGACCTGCTGGACTCGGGCGATCATTCCACTTTAGCCTTCCAAGTAGCTGGAACCACAGGCACGCGCCACACGCCCAGCTAATTTTGTTATTTATTGTAGAGATGAGCAAGGCTGGTCTCAAACCCCTGGACTCAGGCAATCCTCTCAAACTGTTGGGATCACAGGCATGAGCTACTGGATTAAATGTTTTTTCTCAGGGGAGGGAAAGCATCACTGATGAAGAGAGGTCAGAATAGCCAGTAATGAGAAGAACTGACAAAAACATTGCAAAAATTAATTGAACTGTAAGTCAAAATCATCGGTTTACTATGAGAAGCATAGCAGACCAAATAAGCATCAATAGAGAAACAGGAGAATCTTAACTGATAACCTTGGCATGAGAAAAGTTTGTGCAAAAATGGTCCTGAAGGAGCTCTTGCATCACCACAATGCGCCAGCTCACCCAGCGCTGTCTGGGAGGGAGATTTGAGTCAGTAAACAACTAACTATATTGGAACACCCTCCCTACTCACCTGATCTGGCCCCCAATGACCTTTTTCTTCACCTGAAGTTAAAGGAAGACATTTTGATGACATTCAGGACATCAAGGGTAATACGACAACTCTGATGGCCATTCCAGAAAAAGAATTCCAAAACTGCTTTGACAGGTGGACTAGGCGCTACCACCAGTGCATAGCTTCCCAAGGGGAGTACTTCAAAGATGACCGTAGTGAAATTAGCAGATGAGATATATAGCACTTGTCCAGGATGAGTCCGCGAACTTAATTGTCACACCACATACATCTTTGCTCAACCCAAGTGAGCAGATAAACTCTGTTCAATACATATTTGTATCTTATTTAAGATTTGGTGCTGAAAGGTAGTAAGATTTTTATGTTCGTATGTGTATATATATGCATGTATGTATTTATTTAGAGTTGGGGGTCTGTCTCACTGTCACCCAGGTTAGAGTGCAGTGGCACGATTACAGCTCACTGCAGCCTTGTCTTGCTGAGCTCAGGCAATTCTTTCACCTCAGTCTTCCAGGTAGCTGGAACTACAGGCACAGTCACCATGTCCAGCTAATTTTTTTTATTTATTGTAGAGACAAAGCCTCACCAAGTTACCTAGGCTGGTCACAGACCCCTGGACTCAGGCAATCCTCTCACCTCCACCTATCAAAGTGCTGGGATTGCAGGTGTGAGCCACCACACCCAGCAGAGACTGGTTAAAATATCAGCTCTACAAAACAACAGGCCAAGCAATAGAGTATACCTGTTTTGGATAAGTTCTGAAAATTTTCACTTGCCAAAAAAATAAGGGCATGTAAACTTTTTGGATGAAAATTTTATTAAGAATGATGACAAAAATATCAGTTAACTAAGAAAACTTAAAAAGCTTTGTACACTTATTTCACATCAGAGAACAGAGAAAGAACTCATATCCCTTTGTATAATTAGAGCAACTATTCTAGACATTTGGCCCTGAAAAGTCCCAGAAACACCCCTTTCCTAATCTCTCTAGATTTGGTGCTGAAAGGTAGTAAGACTTTTATGTTTGTATGTGTATATGTACGTATGTACGTATGTATGTATGTATGTACGTACTTATTTAGAGTTGGAGTCTCACTGTCGCCCAGGCTGGAGTGCAGTGGCACGATTACGGCTCACTGTAGCCTTGTCTTGCTGAGCTCAGGAAACTCTTCAGTTAGTACTTACAGTTCTTCCATGTTATTCAAGCCGAAAAATGCTCCATCCTTAAGTTTGCTAATCCCATTCCGTTGCATTTTCAAAGATCTTAAGGAGTCAAGTCCTTGGAATGTAAGCCCTTCCACAATTTTAATCCTGTTTCTTTTAAGTTCCCTTTAACAAAAATAGTTTTACAGTCAGAAAACTGGTTTGCTGAATTGTTCTAACAATAATTAAAAAGAAAAAGACGCTGCAAGAAAAAACTGTCTTCTTATAATCCATCTATTTAGTTACTTACAAGAATTGCAGGTGAGGCAGCTTGAAGATCTTAGGTGGAATCATGCTAATTCGGTTACGATTTAACTTTACCACTAATAAGGAACTTGATAAATTATCAAAGCAACCAGCCTCCAACGTGGCTATCCTATTATTACTCAAATTCCTAAAACAAGCAAGGTAACAGGAAAAGGAAAAAAAATTAGTAAAACAAAGCATTCTACCACTGGAAAGCTACCAAAAATCTGTCTGAGCCCCCAGCTCTATCATTTAATGACTATATGTAACTATAAATCATTTAACTGCTTTGTTTCTTCACCTACAAAATTAGGAGGCTATCTACTTCATTTAGGTTGTTACAAAACAGTGTGTGTGAATATGCTTTGTAAACTGAAAAACACTGGTAACACATGCTAATTATCATCATTATATAGGGTAAACCACTGTTTAACAAACCACTATTTACCGTTTATAAAACTGTTGTTAAAAAAAAAAATCCAGAATTAAATCTAAAAAAATTACCCTGGACACCTACCAATATTTTTGACAACAGTGCAGTATCTCTTTTGGGGACTGGAGAGGACAAACCCATCAACCCAAAAAACTGAGTTAGTTTCACATACACATATCAAAATCACAATAAATAACAGACATTTTGGGCAAGAAAGTACCAATAATATATATGCACTTTCAAGTAAATTTAAGTTAAAGTCTATTTTACTTACAGGTATTTAAGCTGCATTCGAGGAAATGAAGATGTCTTGATTTCTGATATTATATTTGAGCTGAGGTCCAAATTCTCAAGGGCAGAGTAAAACTGGAGCATGTCTGCATTTATTTCTGGGATTATATTATGAACTCTATAAAACAAAGCATATATTGAAGCCACTGCCAATGATTCACCCCAGGACACAGCACATTAGATAATTAGGATCAACAATATACATGCTTAAAAAAACTGCATACTATTTATAATTTAAGTAAAAGATTTAAAATTTTATTAACTTACAATGAAAGTACAGTAATATTCGATGTTGGTTCTCCAAAATATGGGATTTCTGTTAGCTCATTATAATTCATTTTCCTAGGTAAGGGGGAAAATAGATAATAAAAGTTTAGTGAGGGAAATGTTACCTCTTGAATTTTAATTTCTGGATTATACATATTCTTTAGAACAGGTATCAAATTTGAAAGCTCCTATAACTCAGAATGAACTAGACGAAAATAAAAAATGTATTTATTGAGAAATTAGAGATTTTAATAAGAAACGCTTTTTCTTGGTGTTGATCTACTATTGATAACTCTATTAGAAAAGCAAGTTAATTTTTTTGCCTACTAAATCTTTCCAGTTCAAGCAATATTCTGTGAATAGTTATTTGAGTCCTTAAACAAAGAAGAAAAATTAGCCATCCAGATCTCTTCCCTTCCCTAAATATGTACATATACATATACATATATATGTACATATATTTTTCTAAAGCTATACAAAGTTTGGAAGTGTTACTTGAGGTCACTGATGAAGTTAATCTACCCATCTATGACTAATTTTACAGTTACAATGACATGTCACATCTGATGCCAGCAGCCCTTTAAGCAGATTGTCTCAAATGTTTTAGTAGCAAATCTAATATGTACAATCACATTCCATTAACCTGGTTTTCAGTCACTGAACAACCTCAACAATCTAGCACACAGAAAAGAAACCCGAAGTAAAGACCTGTGGGAAACCAACCAAAGTGAATAACGCTCTCACACTTCCCACTGAAGCACGTCCAGGCCTTTTCTCAGTGCCTACTCTTCCAGCTACCAACCTGTCAACTGTTTATTCAGTCCAAGCAGATTACAGTCAGTAAACTTGGGGGAAGGGGGACGAGAATGTAGGGAGAGTGAGAGCATGAGTCACGCCCACCAGCAAAGAATTAGAAAGGAAAATAAATCCGAGGGTGTGAAGTGCAGAGGCAAACAGGCCCACATCCTTCAACAGTTGTGTCCCTGAGAACATAACAATGCAATAGCTGGTATTAATAATATTTTTAGAAAATTCCCTCCAAAATTACTTATTATAGTTCAATATTAAAGGAAAAACTTCAGTTAAGAGGAAAACTGGGTTAGGTGCAGTAACTCACTCCTGGAATCCCAGCATTTTGAGAGGCCAAGGTAGGAGGATCGCTTGGGCCCAGGAGTTCAAGACCAGTCTGGGCAACATAGCGAGACCCTGTCTCTACAAAAATAAAAACAAAAAAATTAGCCAGGCATGGTAGCAAGTGCCTGTAATCACAGCTACTTGGGAGACTGAGGCAGGAGGATCACTTGAGCCCAGGAGTTCAAGGTTGCAGCAAGTCATGAGTGTACCACACTGCACTCGTCTTGGCAACAGGGTGAGATCTAGACTCAAATAAGTAAATAACGAGGAAAATTGAATTACATCAACCAGCATATTCTCAAATGATAACCAAAAGTATTCTAGTCCATATAAATCGACTTTAGACATGATGCTTCCATTTTTGATAAAATGTTCAGACATTTAAAGTTTACACGCCGGGCTCGGTGGCTCAGCCTGTAATCCCGCGCTTTGAGAGGCTGAGGTGAGTGGATTGCCTGAGCCCGCGGGTTCGAGACCCACCGGGGCAACTTGGCGAGACCTCATCTCTACAATAAACCAAAAAATTAGCTGGGCTTGGTAGCGCGCGCCTGTGGTTCCATCTACTTGGAAGGCTGAGGCGGAAGGATCACCAGAGTCCAGTAGATCGAGGCTGTGGTGGCTGGGAGCAGCCACTGCACTCCAGTCTGGGCAACAGAGTGAGACTCCAACTCAAAAAACAAGAAATTTACACAATACATTTCACTGGCTGAAAATGTGCCCCCCCCCCAAAAAAATATATATATACACATACTCCAAAGAGGGGAGAAATCTTACTTTTGGCCCAGGAAAGTGGAATAATATTTCTCCACATTTGCAGCTTGAAATTACCAACCCAATACCCAGAGAGTTTATGATAATAACAAAGCCAAAGAGAATAATTTAAGTTTGTAAATATTTCTCCTAATTAAGAAAATGTTTCCTTCAATTTTTTTATGTTATTTTTGGAGTAAACATCCCCAAATCAACAATTTATTAAGTCACTTCAAGAAATTTAACATAACCTTAATAAATAAAAATAACTTACACTTCCTGTAATGTTTGTGACTCCAAGCTGATGTTCCAGTCAGACAATCGATTATGACTCAAATCCCTGAGAGGACAAAAATATCATTCTTAGTTTAGTGTTAGAAAGTGGACTAAAAAAAAAACTAAAATAGGAATGCTAAAAGTCCTATTCAATGTGACTTTAAGTAGCATAGACAAAAAGGAATGTTTATAAACAATGAATAAAGATGCATCTAGATTTCAAAATAGCTATTTAAAATTTTTTTTTAACTAATTAAGGAATACATTTCCATGGGTCAATAATCAAAAAAGTATAAAAGAGTATACAGCAAAAAGTCTTCTACTCTTATCTCCAGCCCCCTAATTTCTGTTAACAATAACAATTGAAAATATGCCATTTCCTGTGCAGCTTCCAGATATTATATGCACGTACAGCAAATTTTTACACAAATGTTAGAATTTATACTTCATTTTGCCCCTTGCTTTTTTCACTTAACAATATACCTTAGATTATCCCATAGCAGTATTTTAAAAGTTTCTTCATCCCTTGTAGCGACTACATAATATTATCTTTTAAATAAATTTGAAGATAGATTTCACAAGTCAAAACAGCAAACTTCTATAATTAAAACTGGAGTTGACCATATTCTTGATAGAGACGGAGTCTTCTCAACAAAAAAAAGGCAAAGGAAGTTAATCTTACCCCAAATTATGTCAATGATGAAGATGATGGTGATGGTGACTAACAACTATTAAGTGCCAGGCATTCCTTTATGCACTTTACATACCCTAACCGGCTAAATCCCCAGAGCAGCCTTACAAAGCAAACGCATTTCTAATGCTCACATGCCTAATACAGAAACAGGCACAAGAGAGATCACTAATTTGTCCATCTAAAATCACACAATTAATGAGTAAGGAAGCCATACATTCAAAAGTCCATCTCACTTCTAGTAAGTAGTTTATTAAATACAGTAGAGATTTCACTGAAATTAGCCATGAGTCTAAATAGACAAACAGGCTTTTTAAAAAATTCACCTTGATGCTTCTGGCATCTTCACAAGGCTGAGGTGGAATCCAGCCCACACAAGCTGTCTGCCCAAGAGATGTACTTATGTTACAATATGGCTAGCAATAGGGACACACTAGAGAAACGTTACAGATCACTTCATTTCACTGTGCCACCAAGCACAGCTGACAGATGCTTGCAGGTTTGAAAGATGTCTCTATCACAGCAGAACAATTTGTTCTCAGCTATGTTTATGCCTGCCCATCTGTAAAACCCAGCCACTTTTTTTTTCCTTTGAGTCAGTATCACTGTCACCTAAGCTGCAGTGCAGTTGCATCCTCTAAACCACTGCAATCTCAACCTTCTGGGCTCAGGAGATCCTTCTGCCTCAACCTCCCAAGTAGCTGGAACTACAGGCGTACACCATGACACTCAACTATTTTTTTATTTATTGTAGAGATGAGGTCTCACCAGGTTGGTCTCCAACCCTTGGGCTCAGGCAAACCTCTCGCCTCCGCCTCCCAAAGTGCTGGGATTACAGGCGTGAGCCACTGTACCCAGCCGTTACTTTCCTTTACAAGCTTTATTTACTTACGAACTTTGCAGCAACTTGGATGGACTTAGAGTCTATAATACTGAGTGATCTATCACAGAAACAAAGAACTGAGTATCACATGTTCTCACTCATAAGCGGATATTGAACAATTATCGTTAATACCATAAGAAAAGGATTGGTTGGCCGGGCTCGGTGGCTCAGCCTGTAATTCCAGCACTTTGGGAGGCCGAGGTGAGGGGATTGTCTGAGCCTGAGGGTTTGAGACCCACCCGGGCAACTTGGCGAGACCTCATCTCTACAATAAATCAAAAATAATAGAAATAAAGTGCACCATAAATGTAATACATTTGAATCATCCTGAAACCAACCCCCTCCCCCAGTCCATGGAAAAATTTTCTTCCATGAAACTGGTCCCTGATGCCAGAAAGGTTGGGGACCACTGCTCTAGACCCTTCTGAAACAAATCCACATTGAATGAGATTTAGATATACTAAAGGTAAACTGAAATACATTCCCACAGTAGTACTATCATAGAAAACAACTAATATAACATATCAATGTAGTTGTTTAAATTATCAAAATAGCAGATGTCTAACTAGAATTATATGGATTGATCTGCTAATCAGCCATTCACGCAATAAGCACCTATTGGAACATGTGTAAGGCCCCGTACTAAGTGCTAGGGTTACAAACAATGTCAACTGTAGTAAGCTTTTTTTCCCCCAAAAGCAACACAAGTTCTCAGAAATTCAGTCACTCCAAATCTGTAAGCAAACTCAACATTAAATTGACTATTCCCCTTACTCCCCTTCCCTGGAAATGGGTAAATTAACTTTCTTTTACACCTAAATTTCACTATAAAGTTTAATCATATGATATGTGCATACTCTTGTTCCCCACAAGCATGTTTTTCCTATTTTTTTTCTTACTAAAAGTACCCCTAGAAGGCTGAAAAAAACTAAAATTTGAGCACTTCAAATATCAGAGGAAAACTTTTTTTTTTGAGTTGGAGTTTCACTCTGTCCCCCAGGCTTAAGTGCAGTGGCATGCTCACAGCCACTGCAGCCTCAACCTGCTGGGCTCAGGCGATCCTTCTGTCTCAACCTTCCAAGTAGCTGGAACTACAGGCATATGCTATCATACCTGGATAATTCTTTTGTTTATTGTAGAGATGAGGTCTTACCAAGTTGCCCAGGCTGGTCTTGAAGCACTGAGCTCAGACAACCCTCTTGCCCTGGCCTCCCAAAGTGCTGGAATTACAGGCTTGAGTCCCGGCGCCCGGCCTGTAAAACTCTTTAATTTTAAGGATCTGGATAAATTTTTTAAGTGAAGTCTCTCACTCTTCCTTCCAATGTCCAATCATTAATTCCATTTCATTCGCACAAGGCAGTAATTTTTTTTTATTTTTGAGTAAGAGTCTTACTGTGTCCCCCCAGGTTGGAGTGCAGTGGCACGCTCACAGCCACCACAGCCTTGACCTGCTGGGCTCAGGTGATCCTTCCACCTCAGCCTTTTAGGTAGCTGGAACCACAGGCATGCACTACCATGCCCGGCTAATTTTTTTCATTTATTGTAAAGACGAGGTCTCGCCAAGTTGTTCAGGCTGGTCTCGAACCCGTGGGCTCAGGCAATCCTCTCGCCTCCGCCTCCCGAAGTCCTGGGATTACAGGAATGAGCCACTGTGCCTGGCTAATAATTTTTTTAAAAAGTCCTGTAACAGATGATTATTTTCCCCTTGAAATTCCCTAAAATGTACTCAAGAATTTGAAGTAATCTAATGACTGATAAACATAACCTAAAGTTACATTTTGTAACAGGCAATAATCTTTCCTTGATGTTCTAACACCCTGATATCTGAATATTTGTGCATATGATGATTGACGCGCAAAGGTTTCACAGAAGGCCTTATCTCAGTGTAAACTCAGCTTCCACTCATGCTAATCTGTGGGGAAGTAGCTGCAATAAATGATAAATTATTAAAGTTCTTGGTATCATGTGGAGCCAGAAGTGCCATTAATGTAGTCGGTTAGCAGCCTCAGGGTGTAAATTATTTATAGGATGTTCAGAGCAATGACAACAGTTCGAGGAGAAGAACCACGTTCAGCAGGCCAGCTGCACAGAAGTCCTGCAGCCACGGAGATGGAGAGGTTTGCTTCTGCACAGTCACTTATGCACACTCCTGAGTCATCAATAATCCCTTTTGGTTTTGAAAATATGCAGTCGAACTGTGAACTTTAACAATAACAAAACCTCTGATAAAGGGGTCCTGTGCAAAGGGATAAAAAAAGTGTGCTGCTTCCCATATTTACCCAGCATAATTTGCCCTCTCTTTTGTGAATGGAAATCCCTATCCTTTTAGAGTATACCTAGCATAACTTACTTTTTGAAATAATACTCTAGGCTACTATTACAATAAGTAGTATGAAATCACCATGTTGTGATTTAACATGCTGATGGTGATCTTCAGTTTCAGTACTCTTGGAGTACAGTGAACTAAACATGAGAATTCCAAAACAACACTGAAAACTGTCTGCCTTTTTACAGCCCTGTTTTTCCTTTACCACTAACAGCTTTACACTAAAAGCTCTCACTTCTTCAAAGTGTCAGCCTTCCTGTGTAACAGACTACTTACCTTTTTCCTAATTTAGCCTATGATGATTGATTAAAAACTTAGGTCTGAATAAGGAGTAGACTAATTACTGACTGTTAGAACTATCTGAATTAGAAATAAATGAGATCGGAATGAGAGTCTCCTCTGTGAATAAATGCTTCCTGGAAGCATTTTTGCTTTGGTGTTGAACTAGATAGAGATGGCTAGCTATGTTGCATAAATACCTTCAGGATAAATAAGATTTTACTACAGCATGAGGCAAATTTCCATTCCAAATAAAACTTTATATCCTTCATCTGCACTACTTATTTGTAAAACACAGTACAATGCTTTCTATATGAATCTAAAAAGTTAGAGATGGTAAGAAGATGGGAATACTTATTTCAAAAAGAGGGAGTATGTTTCATTTTCTTCCACTATCTTTCCCTGGAATTCTTAAAAATCCTGTTTCACTGGAGAATGCAAGAACAAAACAGGAAATATGAATTCTATGGCTAAATTTAAGAAAACAGTCTTAGCCGGGCGCAGTAGCTCAAGCTTGTAATCCCAGCACTTTGGGAGGCGGAGGCGAGAGGATTACCTGAGCTCAGGGGTTCAAGACCAGCCTGAGCAACATGGTGAACCTCATCCCTACAATAATTCAAAAAATTAGCTGGGCGAGGTGGCACACACCTGTGATTACAGCTACTTAGAAGGCTGAGGCTAAAGGATCACTTGAGCCCAGCAGATCGAGGCTGCGGTGGCCGTGAGCATGCCACTGCACTCCAGCCTGGGCAACAGAGTGAGACTATAACCCCCCCCCAAAAAAAGAATACAGTCTTAGCATACCCCATTCTGGGATTTGGGGCAAATCATTTAACTTAAGCTTCAGTCTCTTTCTTCTACAGTAAAAGCAGAGTATCAGTAACA